TATAATTGAAAAAAACCTTTTTACTACTAATTTTAAAATTGTCTCAAAATCCCCAACACAGGTAAAGTTTGACATCTGGGTATTTCACTGTGTATTAAATCACTTCCTGTGTATAGGGATTAGGAGACAGATGACCACAGGTAGACTGCTAGCCCCCGAGGCATTCACACCTGTACAAAATAAGCCCCTCCCTGACCTGGAATTTACCACCCGGTAAAAAATCTCTGCCTATTTAAAAGATTATTGTACATGAGGAACATACTCTTGAGTATCGAACAAGTTTGGAGACGTAAAAACCATATGTAGCGGGAGACTACTAGTACTATATAAAGAAGGAAAATTTATGATGGAAAAATTGAAGTCATTTCTCTTGTCAAACAATTAAGTGTTTAGTTGGTCCTTATGTTCTATAGTCAATAAGAAATATAAATTTGAAACCGACGTGGCAGACTCTGTGGTGTCATTTCGAGTAGAAAGATGAACGAAAGTATTTATTGTAAATTGAGAGAGCGTCGTCGATTATCTAAATGAACAGCTGAAGGCTATAGCAAGTGTTTTCCTCCTTTCATGCAGGCAGCTTTGAATAAATTCTGCTTCACAGCAATAAAATAAACAGGTAAACCAAAATCGGGATCGCAGTTAGTACCAATACAGTTATAGTTGATTATTTAATGCATTTTTTTTATAATATAAAGGCGTGAATAAAGGATTGCAAGAAAACAATAGCCACATATTATACAATTGTAGTTGTTATAATTATAAAATCTGATTTAAAGTGACTTTTATGATCAATAAGGGGAGGCGAATGTCAAGGGGCGACCAGAAAGCTCGCGTCCTTACCCTGTATCTCCTTAACCAAATGAAGCTTAGCACGCATGGATCATATAGATACGCTGTAAAAAGAATGTTGCACATAATATTTTGCCTCGTGTTTTTGACGTCATAATCGTACAATCGAATCAATAGGCCCATATACTCAGTAAGTAGATTACTTCTGACAGTAATGGCCCACGGCTCAGTCGTATATTGGATAAAAAACAGTTACACAGTTTTGCATAAAAGTACTTTTGATAAATGATTTGAACCATTTTTTTTTTGCGTCAAAGGATTGCCAAAATTTAAGCTAGTAAGACGAGGGTTCGTTTAAAGATATGAAAAAAAAGTGAAGATAACTAGCAATGATCAATTTTTAAAAAATCTATAAAAGTTATACGGATGTCAACAAAAATTCAGATGCAGGATCAGGTACCTGGAAGGAATTAGCATCCCCTGTTAACCAGTCTTAAAAACCGTGAGCCCTGAATATTGATTAGGTAGACTGATAATTAGCTAGTCAAATTTGGTATAAAAAACCAAGGCCTATAAAATAGTATGAAACATAAGACTAAACTAGAGGTACTTTGAGCAATGAGCTCACTAAATGATACCCCCCGATTCCCATAATGTCCATGTGTTGCTGTATATTGTTTTACGGTAATGTGTAAAGAGGAATAACTCTTCCTATCAAATGTTATCCAGAAGCTTCTATGTGACGTCATATGTAAACATATAATGGCAATGTCCATGTTTAGTTATGGGAAACTTAAAATACGTGTCGAATAAAAAAGTAAAATAGGAGGTGCACAATGGCAATATGTAATAAAGATTCTGTGAAAGTTTCATTAAATTTCACTCAGCAGTATAAGAGGACTTGCGGATAAGAGATAAAGCGTAACAGACGGACGGACGTACAGACGGACGGACGGAAATCCCGATTACTATATACCCTCCCACTTTTCAAGCGGGGGGTATAATGAACACATACATGTATATCAGCTACAAAGTCCAAAGAATTTACAAAGTGCTAAATTTAACCGAAATTGTTGCAATCATTGTAACAGCATAATCTGTGAGAAGCCTTCATCGTTTAAAAAAAAATATTGTTATGTACGCGGAACATACTTTTGAGTATCGAATAAGTATTGGAGATGCAAAAAACATATTAAGCGGGGGATAACTAGTACTAACTAATAACTAGTACTATATAGTTAAATTAGGAAAATTGACGATGGAAAAATTGAAGCTATTTCATTTGTCAAATGTAGCTAGTCCTTATCGTTTATAGTCATCAATTACCGACATCTGATTTACACTACTTTTAGAATATACTGCAACAGAGAGCGTCTAAAGTTTCTTCTGTACAGCACTTAATATTTTTATAGCGAGTAAGCATAAAATCTCATTATAGAATAGAGTTTTGCTGTTGGTAAGAGGTTTTATGCAGTTTAGGAATCCAATTCTTGTATAAAGTACATCAACCTTACCTTAGGTGACTGAAATGTTTAATAATGAAGTGATTTTGAAGAATTTTATCTTTGGAAAGTGAGCAACAAGAACACATGTTTAAGCTGGGTTCCCAAAATTATAGCTAAAACCAATTTCTTCCAAAGATACAGATATTAAAATGAGCCTTGTAAACAAAGATATTCTTACAAGCCTAGTCGACTGGAATCATAACCGATTGTTTTTGTAGTTTTTCTTATCCTTTGCTCAACTCCAGTTTAGAGAAAACGAAAGGTTAAAGGAAGGAGAGTAAAATTGATGTTCTTTCTAGTTTTCTCCAGGCCTGACAGCTAGAGCTTAAAAAGATATGTTTATATTTGAGCCTTTATTAAGAGAGATCGCTTACCCGCAGTTATAGAAATAGTATAAGACCATAATAATATAATAATTTGTAATTTCCCTAAAATTACCAATTTAAAACGTTAACAAATCTAATTTCCTGAGATGTTGAAGAGAAAGCGCTCTTTGAGCCACGTTGGATTTATCCTTAACACTAGATAGAGAAAATTATTTCAATCCTATATATAACAGATTTTGTCGCAAGTTTCGACAGCTAGCTATTGTATGTTGAAAGAAATGTGAAACTGAAAAATCTTCATGACTCTGTAGACAGTAGGTTATCGAAGCTTGTCATGAGATGGCTTGCATGGACCATGTTTTGCGTAATCAAACCTTTGCAGATGTGTAATAAAGCCGGAATAATCCACTGAAAAAAAAAGAACTAATATTATATGAAAACCGTTTATTAAACTTATTTTACTAGTTCGCGAATTATTTGATCACCCTTTGTATTTCTTTTTTAGAAATATTCGTTAAACCAGGTGCCTATATATACATGTACTAACGTTTATAGGTCCCGAGTTGAACACTTTTGCTTTTCATATATATCAATTTGATTAGTGGAAACAAGGGTTACAATAATGAAAAGCGACACGTGAGCGTTAAGGCTCTGTTTGTGTCTTGTGTGAGTCATCTAGTACGTTTGACATACTTGTATACATGTATATACAATCAGAACGGTGACACATTTCTGACAAATTTCATGCATGATTTAAATAATTTTACGTCAGTAATCATACAATTTATTCAAATTATTTCATATTATTCACTTCTCTTATTGCACTTTTAATTTTAATGTTTGTTTTATTTATAAAAACTTCATTCAATAAAAACTCCCTAAGAATGATTTATTTGTCTAAAATAGTGCAAGAAGCATGCATTGCCATAATTATTATCAGTTTTTGCAAACCTCGTTAAATCAAGAAGTTTAATTTGTCGCATACATTATTTAGAATGTGTTGTCTTTATGTTTAAAAGATAGAATTTATCCAAATTTTAAAGGTAAGTTACCATTTTAATGTAATATATTCATAATAAAATGTAAATATTAATCAACCCTAATAATTTCGAATGCACTTTTATTTGCATAGAATAAGTGGGCTGCTACATGTAGTTTGACAGTAAGGATAATTTCAAATGAAGGTCGAGAAAGTAGAAGCTGCGAAAAATTAGGATGATAAATTTAAATGGGCATTTGTCTTTATTAGGTGATCATTTAGAAGAATGGTATTCATTTTTAAAACAACTTCGAAGCCCTCAAAGTGCAACAATTTGATACAGTTTAAAGGGTGTCTTCTAGCTATTCCCACTTTTTAAAAATCCCAATTCCACCTATTCCCACTTGCAAATAACAATAGATGTTTTGATTAGTTAATTGGTTTTTACAGTAATTAGACTAATTACATCCCATCTTAGATATACCTGTATTTTACCAGTATTTTGTACATTTTAAGACAGAAAATAAATGTATTTATCAAGAAAATATTTTAAAATATACTTAAATTCACTGAAATATATACTTTGATTTTTGAATGTGTAAAATTATTATGAAAAATATTTTTATTTGAAAAAGTCTTATTTCTCATTGAAATAGAAGTAAAAAGTCAGATTTTTAAAAAAAATATTATTTTTTATTTTTATTTGAAAAAAGTCTAATTTCTCCCTGAAATAGTAGTAAAAAGCCAGATTTTATAATTCAAGATAGCAAATTTACCTGTCCTCTACTCCCAGTGGTGTAATAATTACTGTTTTCACAGTAATGACATGTTTATTCAGCTAATTATTTGTTTACACAAAAATTCCACCTACTCCCAAGCCTTTAAAGATTTTCAGTAGATATACAAATGCATGTATCCTTATTACTTATTCGAGTGTTGTAATTATTAAATATTCAATGATTGAGAAGGCTGTCTTAATAGATTTATTGATAATTCGGAATAAAGGAGAGTGCAAAAAGTGATCCTTTTTTTAAAAAAAATGACATTTGTGAAATGAAAATACAATGAAAGAAATGATAACTTGAAAATAAATTACAATATACAAGTCACAAAAAACGAAGTTCATTAACTAAGTAAAAAAATACTAATGTAGATATAACAAAACAAATTAACCGTAAATGATGTTTACATACCAACTATTAATCATGGGACTAAATTTTAGAATTTAATAAATATTTGTTGGTAAGCGATTCAGTTTCTTCAAAGAAAGAAAATCTTGTATCGATATCAAAATTTCTTTACAAATACATTGTCATTACATTATTTGAAACCTTCTCTCAAAGGTTGCATTTGATCAATATGGCCGATGATCTGCTTTTGCATTTTCAAATACATGTAATGAGTTGTCGTCCTTGACAAAGATGGCGTTCATTGTTAAGGATATATGGATTATGGAATCAAACTGGAAATATGAATCACACAAACGTAACAACGCGTGGAATTTTCTTGGATGTGTTAGATAGAAAATTATATTAGCCAATGCATCAAATCTTGTACAACAGAATTAACACTTGGAAATTTAAACAGAAGGACAGTTGTGACCTAAATTGCGATGTAAGTTTGTGTATATCATATCGATATAAAACGTGTTTTTGTTACAAAACAAGAGCCTTAAGGCAACTTATCGCTGTTTTTGTTGTTAAATATTTGCACGTTAGTCTTGTAATTGGTTTATAGAAGCAAATTGTTCTAAGGACCATACTGCAGTTTCTAATGCTTGCAATTAGTGGAATTTCAAATTCAAAATTTCATTTGAAAATTTCTTCCAAGAATTACTGACTTGTATTCATAAAGAGCAGACAAATAAATACATTTTAGCATTTTACTCGGACAAAGGTATCAACAAAAGAACGATTTCAACTTTTATACAAAACATTCTGTTGTAATATTGCCTGCATGAAATATACTTTTTCGAAAATCCACAATTGTATTTATTCCGTTATTTTGGTAGAAAATATCGCCTTAAAAGGCTCATATTTTCCCAATTTATAAACAATATGCTGTTTCTAAAGTGCAGTTAATATATGTCATATCGCGCCCTCTAGCGCATTTGTCATATTGTACTTTGTCGGTAGTTAACAAAGGATGTTCCCGCTTAAATTAAACATACACAACCAAACAAAATATCAGTTATACGACTTTTCTGTTTTATCTCAATTTTACATAATTTTCAATTCAAGGTATGAAAAAATCTGGTTCATAATATGTTGAAAACTTTAAGCGAGAGGTTCTTGCAATAAAACAGATTTAGTTTTAAAAAAACGGTAGCATACACTGTTGAGTTAACCTGAAATAGCTCATAAATGAAAATTGCTTATTTTGTTGTCCACTAGAAACAATAAAAATGTCTCGACGCTTATTGCAAGAGACAGTAACTGTCATGTCAGGTATAACAAATTAAACATGATGCACCAATGTAAAATATTTATGCGAATTTATTTTCTCTTACTTTGTAATTAATTTAGGACAAATATTTCCATAAAATTTAATTACATGTTATTTATTTGTCATGATTTTAAAGAATAGACGTTTCCCATCTAATAAAAATTAGTATAATGAGTTTCCATGCTCCACCTGGAATCCATTGTCACCATATGTCTGGTTTCAGACAGTTCTACACAAATGTAAGAATCTGAAAATTAAAAGACTTTGAATAAAGGGTTAAAGTATAAAATGATATATTTGCTACTTCGAGCACTAAGGTATTTATCGTCAAATTTCTTATGTACTATTAGATGAAAGTCAAAGATTGAAAAAAAAGATCATATTTTATGATACGTGCTTCCTTTATTACTTTTAGTTTATAAGTAGATACAAAGACATTATAAAAAACTTAACGTGTAGACATTTTCAATTACAGAAAATGAGCCATGTTCGCCCAGTTAATCTCAGTGTGTGTCCTGATAACTTCGGTGGTTATTGCTAAGGAGCTAGGCTGGATGGAATGGGACAAATTCGATGAGCTAGATTTGCAGTTTCGGAGTACAACAGGAGAAAACTGCAGATCAAAGAGTATCAATGAATTAATCATGCCTGAAAATGTTATAACACAGATTCCAAAATATAACGAACTACGTACCAAAGTCTTCTACAAAAATCGGACAAACCTCATACATCTGCATAATATGGCTCTAAACAGAGCTTATTTTTATAGTTACATATTCCAAAGAATGAACACCTCTGGAACTTTTAGAACACTCCCAGATTTACATTATACTCACCTGTCAGTTGCTGCGGACCTCAATGCAAATCCAACTGTTATCAATGGAAGTGCGCTGTATTTCGATAACAATTGTTACTATCCAAACTGGTTGACCAACTACGATATAAACCATACCATTCCATTGTTTGCACCTCGAGCCTGGAGATGGGACGATACATTCGACATGGACAATCACCTTAGAGAACCGACTCTGAACACACTTTTCCTATTAGATGCGGGTAGTGGTTTCAATAGGAATTATACAAAAAGAGGTTTCAGAATGAACCCCTGGTATGATTTCTGGCTACCTGACACACAACCCATCTATGATTCAACATACAAATTTACTTGGAGTGTCAATCTAAAGTTTTCCAACAGCACTGGAGTCTTTACGCAAAACACATTTGAAGGGTTTAACTTCTTTGGGTCAAATTACCCTGGAACTAATGACCCGATTGAAAAGCAGCCAGTTCGTTTCACCAGACCATACTTTGACTGTGGACGATCGAACAAGTGGGTGGTGTCTGCAGTATCTCCGATAGCAGACTTTATGCCTCGATACAGCAACTGGACTCACCTCAGACGACCAAGGTAGCCATTTTTAAAAAATATTTAATGTAATAAAGTTTTGATAAAAATTACTCTTTTTAAAATAATACAAATGTATTTGTGTCAATATTTTTTTTAAACTCTGAGTAGTGAAAGTTCAAGTGAGATATTTTGCAAAGGGTTGTCGTCTGTTTTATTCGCTGATTGGAATTCAATAAATTTTACATTAATTTAGAAATATTGCCCTTTTATTAAAATCGCTATTATTTGGCATTTAACGTATATTCTTTCGTTTTTTCCTTTTAAAGAATTTTATTTTGTTTCTGAAAATTAAAATATTTAACTTCGATCTCATTTAAAAAGAGAAACTGATTTATTTATAACACAGATTGACAATATCAAAGCCCCCTGAGGATATCCCAATGAATAAGCTGGATTTGCACATTAGAAAGCGTGGAAGACTAACAAGATCCATTCATTCGGAGAAATTGTGTCAAATATAAGATAATCGATCTTTTTTGCATTATAAATATTCATGAAATATTTTTTTTCATTACAAAAGTTGAGTAATATTGTTGTATAGTTGTCTATACAATATTAAGTCCAAGAAAATGAGAGATCACAGAAGTGGGTGAATGTTGAAAACTAACAGAACCTTATATCTAAACGTTCTCACATAAACCTTTAATCACGAATGTGTTCTAAGAATCCTTAACTACTATGTGTACATGTAAGCAAAAAGGTACGCCGAAATGTCTTGTTGTATTGTTAAAGAGGCTGGGGGTGGTAGCCATTTTCAGACTATTTCGATCTCCTTTAAAAGAAAAGCTCCATATAAAGATATACAAAAATGATCAAATTTTAAAACTAAAATGTATGAATTTTTTCTTTGCCAAATGAATGTTGACAGCTTAAGATACCGTATCTAACAAAATATTAAGTTAAATCTGGTGGTTAATTTGTGGTTAATTTGTTGACCCCTCAGCCTCCTTAAAACATTATATTCAGATGAGTTGTGTGCTTTATGGTTCTTTTATTTCCTGCAGATTTATTGGTGCTGCTGTAATGGACACAGATTTTGAGAAAATAGATTTTAATCCTTGTGGAATAAGTGATGGTAATCCAGGACCAAGTTTTCTGGCAGGAATCCACAAATGCAAGAAACACTCAGGGGTACTGAAACTTTTCTTCACAGAAATCTATAAATATTCTGGAAATTATATATATTCCTAGTTATTCCTTTTAGAAAACCAACGTTTTCATATCGATCACTTTAGTACATGTAAATCAAAGTTTTCCTAGTTATCACTTCAGTAAACTATAGTTACCTATAATGAAATATATAGTTATCTATAGTGAACTAAAGTTAACTATTGTGAACTATGTTATCTAGAGTATTTAGTATTTTTTTGTAAGGATATGTTGTACAAATGATATTTGTATTAATTTCTACACATTAAGGTAAGCTTAGGTGTACATATTTATGTCAACAAATATTTACATCATTCGACATGAAAAAAAAGACATTTATCAATATCTATACAACCTATTGGGCGAGGATTATCTGCACTAAAACTTTTCCTCTTCAACAAGTCTTTCGACTTGAAAAATAAGAGAAAAATTTCTTAATCGAAAAAAGAACAATCTCTGAATAACTGATGCACAAGTTATACACCTTTTTGTTCTAAAAAGAATTTTTTAATGTTATGTATAAAATGATTTCCGTATATAAAAAGCCATGCTAATGCACTGCAAGATAAATCGAGACATTAAAACTTTTTTTTATATTTTGACACATTGGTTGGTCTGCAGTTTTAGTCTTCATTTTCTGCAACGTGTAATGATGAAGTACTGCAAAATCGAGCAAGGGTGTGTCGACAATAAATTAAGTGATCACGAACTTTACTTTTTTACTCAAAGCTTTTTGGAGGTGAAAGAAATGAATAAACAACTCCTTTTTTGCAATATTTTTATCAGTTTGCAATACATCAAACCAGCTTAATTTGTTCTAAAAGTTTCTTATTCTGAAATAAAAAAAAGAATTGCTGCAAAATATGATAGTTCACTATTCGCCCTTTTCCTTTCCATGGCAATGATAGCCAGTTTTGAAAGTAATTTTTTGAGACATTTACGCATCAACAATATGCAGTTTGAAGTGCATTTGAAAAAACGACGACTATTTCATGTTTTGTTCCGATGGCGACGTTGACAAAATTGATTTTTTGGAGAAATCAATTTTGAAACATTATTGTAATGCTTTAAAAGTTGTAAGTTAATCGAACAAATAGAGAGTTATCAAAAATTGGATTGTTCACGATCGAACGCACATTATACCCCTTCATTGTACATTTTAGGTGAACTTAAATGAAATACATGTAGCTGGAAAGATAACGAACAGTATTCAAGCTCAAAGGTCCGTCAAACAATACAAAATAGGAACAGAGCAAACATGGACCTCCAAAACATCAGGGGTGGGATGAGGTGCCATGGAGGAGTGAACATTCCCTGCCGACAGGTCACACCCGCCATGTGTTCCTTGTCATGATCGGGAAATAACGGGAAAATTGGTCGTCAATTCAGTGTGTAAATAATGACAATAATGACTAACAATTAGTATGAAAAAACTTCAGTCAGCATTTGACTCAATAGTAAATTATATTTGCTGACAAGGTCATTGTATCAATTATAGACTGCTGATATTCTTGTTTTATCAACTTGTTTGTCAATTATTTACTCCAATTTAGAAATTTTACATACACAGGTATGCTTTTGCGTATCAAGTCACCTGATAGATATAAACTCCGTATGCTGGAGATGAAGGTATATTGCTGCATAAGTAAGGGAAGTTCCCGATTGAAAAGTTAAAATCATCACGTATATCAGAGTTTATCAAAGTAAGAAATACGAATTACTTATGATCGTGATTCTTTGTGGCAGAGTTTTGAATCAGAAATCATAGGTATCTGAAATTTTATGATGAATGTTTTCTTCATGAAATATTTTCTTATAGGTTTTTCTGCACCCGTCTGTTTGGGGAAAGCGTAGTGAGTAAAAGCCTGATTCTTAGAAATCTGGAAATAAAAGAACATCTTATTTATTTCAATAGCTCAAAAAACACATTAATGAAAAAGGGTACATACATTTTGAAGTCATGTCAGGGAAGATTTATTAAATCCCATCCCACATTTAATAAAAGTATCGTAGCCTTTTCATATTCAATCTGGAAAACAATCAGGAAGACTTCTGCATAAAATTATTTGGTTGCAAATGACAAATTTCATCAAATATTTCAGTGCAAACACCGCAGCGGTTTTGGTTTTCGTAGAGGAAGTTATAGATGTAAATGTCGATCGGGATACAGGTATTCAAACGAATTAGAAAAGCCTTATATGGGTTCTGACATAGAAGAGTCTACATGGACAGAATACCAACAAGGTTTCAACTGTACCCCTACTGATCGTAAGTAAAGACAGAAAAGATGACATATACACCCAAAAGGGGAAAAGGAATAAGCAGACAATTTCATATATGTACTCATTAAATTAATGAAAATGAACTTCATTAATATTTGTTAGTTGGTGTTAAACCTCTTCATTACTCAATTTATATCCAAATAAAAATAAATATTGATATATTTTTTAAAATTAGATCATAAATATACTATGTTTACAGATGCCTAAAGACAAAACTACTTTAGAATGAAATATGATGCTAAACAGTAACCGAATTTCAAAGTCCATTGAAAGTTTACTGATTAGGGACAGAACAAACATGGACTTTTTAAAAACAAAAGAGTTTAAGATCAAATGTCATGGATGAGAGCATCCCAGTCAACTGATAACACCAACTATGTGCTCCTCGTTATGATCGGCAGGAAAAATCCGTAGACTATTGCGAGTAAACTGATGGCCTAAAATCTGTTTAAAGAAACATCAGTTTACAATCGACTTAACGATAATTTGTAGTTGCTGCTTATTTTGTTGTATTTGATCATAGAATTCGTAAAATTTTGACTTTAAAATGAACTATGATATCCTTAGGTTATCAACTTATTTGTTAATAACTTGATTCGTTTAGGAAATCGTTTCTAGAGCTTACATATATTCTTTCATGAACTTTACTTTTACATTTGTGTCTGTAAATGTTTAAAAAAAACTATTTAACTAAAAATAATTAGTAAATATATAAATAAAATGCATGGACATTTTTTTTTTTTACATTTTTCAACAAAAAAATTCGCTTAACGAATTTGAAAATGAAATTTAAGATGTTATTGTGTTTTTAAGCTCTATCACTTTATCTTCACATGTTTCATTTAATGCGTGCAATATACATACTTGAGCATCGGATCATAACATCTTTATCTTTTTTAAAGAAGCATTGATAATTGTTAAGAAAGTATGCTATCTTTTGTTTTCTTGACAGATCTAAATGTTTTACCAGCAATTGATCCAATAGAGAGTGTTTCTATTGAGTTTTTCAATGAAGAATACAATACTGGTGCCATTAAAACAAGATCATTGAAATCCACAACTATTCGAAAATCAACCCAATCCAAAACGAAAAGAAGAAAGCGTTATAAGCGGTCTCATAAGGACAGACCTCTGTTTGATCCATTAGCCTATGACAGGGTTCTAAAAATATACCGTCAGAAATCCATGGTGACGGGGTCAAACTGTCAGAGCCTTCCCCCTTCCACTTTGATATTACCCGGTGACGTGGGATATGGGGTAGATAGGCAATTTAAATATCAGGCCAGCACGGCACTCAGACTGAGCCACTTCTTGTCTGCTCACCTGCAGACAATGGAAGATATGGATTCTTTTGGACATATTCGTGGAGGATCTCGTCTTCATCATGAACACTTGTTTGGAGAAGTTTTGGCTAATGTAATGGCCGATTACAAAATATTATCGAGTGGTATATATTACGAACCCTATAGCTTCCGAAGTCCCAATGAATCTTTTCGTGAATTCTTTGGTCCGTATGCATACAGACACAAAGATGAATTTTATGCCCTTGACACTGCTGGGCTAGAGAATCATTATACATCAGAGCTTTGGTACAGAGAAGTCAAATCCCGGTGGAATACTAACACAGATCATTTACAAACCTTCAGCATTCGCTCCATGGTGCGATCAGATATTAACGGCTCCAGTTCTATCAGACATGAACATTTTCCCCTGATCTACAAAGCCCCTACCATAGCTCAGGGTCTTTGGATGCCTCCCAAGTTTAAATGTGACGGTAAAATTGACTCGTGGGTTATGACGTACGTTGTGCCGTTTTTTCGCCGAATTAAGTTGTCAGGAAAAGTGCAGTTTACGTAAGTAGGAATCATTAAGTATATGATTTTGTGTTCAGGAAAATATTATTGGCGCAAATGTAGGGTTGAACAATTATACAAAGAATATGATATACAAAAGCACTTTTTCATTGAAATATTATTTTATTATGTTCAACTGTTTGAGCAGTAATACATGCAGTTTTTTTTTGATTGAAAGTTACATAGAATTTGTTGATTGTCCTATAGGGGAGTAGTGACTGTTGATGTTCCACTAGACTTGCTGGAGATAAATGCATGTCCGCAGCCATTTTATGTGAATAATGCATTCAAAAACACAGCTCGATGCCACACACAGTCCACAAATGTTAGTGATTCAAGTGCTAAGTATCCATTATCCTCTTATTTGGCAATTAATTTATTCTTTTTTTTAAAAGAGTAATTAAAAAAAATGATACACAATGTTTTATTGTTAAGGTTTTGCCAAAGGTCAACATGTCCAAAAATTATTTTTACAATAGCTCCAAAACTATGTGGTTTATAAAGTTAAAACTTTTACAGTTTATAAATACATAATTGATTTACAGATAGAAAGTATTAATTGATAACTATAATACTTTTAAAAAAACTTCAAGAAAAAACAATCGGTGATTCAGACCTATGTACCAAATGATTACGTATTACATAATCTAAGTTGTTTCTAAAACAGCCAGTATTTTACCTTTTTATAGTGTCGTCCAAAACGAGGGTTCCGCTTTTCTCGCACGGCGTATGCTTGTGACTGTAAGCAGGGGTACGAGTATCAGTTTAAGGACAAGAAGCGATGGATAGCTGGAGCCTTGATTGAGCTGGAGTATCAGAAAAAAGTCAGAGGCTTATTTAGCAGGTTTGTAATTCAATGATTTTTTTGAAGAAATGAGTCACCGAACTTTGGTTTGAGAGTTCACCCACTGAAGTCTTCTGCTCATTCTGATATTCCGGTCTTTATAGATCTATATTGTTTAACTATTTTTGTATTACTTTTATTTTTAGATACGATTCCCTGAGATGCAGAATATCATCTAGTCCAAATTTATCAATCAATGTTGTTCTCATGCTTTCTCTTTTATTTTTCCTTTATTTAATTTAATATTTATATTCTATTACCAAATACTCATATTGATTTGTGTTATTTATTCCCCTTATTGAATTCTATGAATTCAACTAATACATGCAGTAAATTATTGCTTACATATATTTATACATTGCTCATTAATTTCAAAAGTTTAAAATGACATTCATTTCCCATACTTATTGTAATTTATTTATTTACTTTTTTATTTTATTAATAAAATTATGATATGCTGAGTTCAATTTTGTTTATGTTTGCTTTATCCTGGAGGATTTGAATATCTATTTCTTTTTAGAAAGGCCACTTAAATTAATGGAATGCTTCCGTAGATATAACGATAACAAATATTGACCTTAGATTAAGTCAAAAGGAGTTTTTAAATTTAAAGAAGTTAAATACCTTGAGTTTCATTATAAAATTTTTCAGAAAGAAACTGAAATTTTCATCTGAAACCTATGCATGTAATGTGTATTTCTCACATTGAACTTTGAGTGTTTCACTACAAAACCAATAGGTTTCTCATTTAGGTCAAAGGGAATAGGGATATTTATACCCCCCTTTCAGTGAAGGCTGGTAACCCAAAAAAAAAAAGAGAACAGAAGACAGTCATAACTTTAGTTTAATTTGGGAGATAGACAGTTGTTGCTTTACTTCCTTTGCAAGGTTCTTTCACTCATTTAAGACTTTATGTGTAAGTAGTAGGCTTTTTCTCAGCACCCAGGGCATTAGAAAAGTGAAGAATCTCTCTTGTGTTAATACCTGTTGTGACATGGGGCCTCATATGAAAGACAAAGTTCATCTCAATTTAATAATACTATTGAAGGTTCTTGGGGATTTTCTTCATCTGCAACTTTGCATAAATATACTTGACTATCACAAATGATTTTTAAAAATCTGAAATGTTTGATCAAATTTGTTTACAACTCTTCAGACAAATACCTGATTTGTAGTACATGTGTATTGTACTTGTGTAATTCATTTCTTTTTGCAAAGATAAATATTGATATCATTTTAATCATAATTTGTAAAATGTAAGAGCCGGTAAAATGTTGATTGTATTTTCTGCAAATAAAAAGTAGACCTTGCAACAGTAACTGATTAAAATTTGAAATATTGCATGAAAGACAACTCATATTCATGCTTTGGAGATAATCTTGCTATTTCAATCGCTAGATCACTGATTTGTTGCCCTTGGTTCCTATACATAGCGTCCTTCAAGTATTTCTTGAAGTCTGCTGTGTTTATACATCTATTACATTTTTAAACACTGGATGCAGAGAATGATTTCAAACGACGTTTCGTATATTATTTCTTACTTTTAAAGATTTCTGCTTTCTTTAGAAATGCGAGGGCAATCTAACTTCAGTATGAAAAATATAGCGATAACGAACAGTTTTAAGATCAAACGTCCATAAAGCAATACAAAATAGGAGAAGAGCAAACACGGACCTCCAAAACATCAGAGATGGGATCGATAGCCATGGAGGAGTGAGCAACCCCTGCCGACCGGTCTGTCACAAATTGAACGATATTAAGTTTCAAACTCTGTGAATTTGAATGAAATTTAAATTAACTGAGAATTTTGTCGTTTGGTGTTTACCATTAAGGGCTTACTTTTTCTTCATAGTTTGTTGATAGGTTGATTTAAATATTTTAAAACCTGCGTGTTACTATATCAGGTCAAAGCCGAATTTAATTTCTACTCATATAGGATATTAATGGGCCATATATTTGCATTTTCTAACATGAACATGGAGGATTTCGTTTCAATACAAATATATAATATTATGTACCTCCACCACAACAAAATAACATTTTCTCTGAAATGCTTATCACTGAAGCTGAAATTTATGACCAGTTAACTATCATTGATAACAGTAAACCACCTGGTCAATATCCCCAAGAACACATCTATCAAAAAGCATCTCTTTAATATTCATAATTATTGGTTATCGACACCAGTTTTTAAAAATAAAGGGAGTGCTCAAGAGGTATCTAATTATAGACCAATATCTCTAACAAGTGTCTTGTGTAAATTGATGGAAAAAATACTGTTAAAACATTTATATAACTTTAAATATTTATACAAATATAACATAACTGTTAATCATTAGAAATATATAATACTCATTTCGAATCTTGATAAAGGTAAAGATGTAAGATTTATTTTTTGTGATATCTCTAAGGCATTTGATAGAGTATGGCATAAAGGCCTTTTAACAAAGCTAACAAATTATGGTATAAATGGCAATGTACTAGGTTGGATTGAGAATTATTTGTCTGATAGACAACAAAAAGTTGTAATAGATGGTTTTACATCAAACTCTGAAACAGTAAATGCTGGAGTTCCTCAGGGTTCTGTCCTAGGACCATTCCTATTCCTTTTATATATTAATGATATTTGTGATGATCTAGTGAACCATATAAAACTTTTTGCTGATGACACTTCTTTATATGCTATTGTAGATAATGTTACACAATCACTTACTTGATTTAGAACATATTGATAAATGGTCAAATATATCCTAAAAAAAAATTTAAATTTTAGTAGAAAAAATAATATTCTCCTGTTAAATTTGTGGTATTATTCAAAATGATTAACATATTATTCAAAAGAATTATTCAAAAAGATTAAACATTCTTAGACACACCACTAAAATATATTTTGCTTTTGTTCGACCTGTGCTTGAAATTGTTCTGAAAAAGATTCTAAACTCTTAGAAGATATACAAGTTGAAGCAGGTAGAATTATTACTGGATTAAGGTGTAACTCTTCTCGTAAAAAATGAACTAGATAAAAAAAGATTCATAAGTTAATATTATTTTATAAAATTATTAATGGTTATTCTAATATCTGTAGTTGCTTAAAAAAATCTTAGAACTAATAATGCTCAATTTAAAATTCCAAGCTTTCCAGTCAAACAATTACAAATTAGTATTAAAAATGCTATATTTGTCTTTTAAAATCTCATTTCTGTAGGAAAAGTATTGAAAAAAGTAAATATAATACATTGCCAGATAAGGAATAATGCAGAATCTGAAAGCAGATTTATATAATCAACATTTAAAACTCCATGTGTGAACATTGTAGATTGTATTGAAAATGCCTATCATTACTTTATTGTTTGTCCTTTTACATTTCCAAGAGATGTACTTTTCAATCAACAAAAATTATCCATTTTTAAATGCAGAAGTGATTTTATATAAACACTGTCATATATATATAGATATAATTTTTATCGTTATAAATTGATCCAAAAGTTCGTGGAATTTCTTTCTAAAATTTTATCATGATTTGACAAAAGCAAACAATAGGCATATTTATAAAATGAAATTGTTTTACACCCAATTACCAATATTTTAAAATGGATCAAACCCGGGGGAGACATAAAGGTATGTCACGTCACGTTATAGAATCATCTCACCCTAATGTCAAATTCGAACACGTAATTCTTCAAAATGCTACCCTTTTCTCCATTTTTTTTCTCAAGAAAAGCCTGGGTATGCTCTCGCACTAATTTATCTTCATTTTTTACTCATATTTCTAAATACCCCCTATCTTTCCATATGATGTTCCGATTTCAGTAGCAATGTCAAGAACAGTACGTCAGCCGACAACGCCTATTAATGCTTTCAATTTATCAAGGGGGACAAATACTTAAAACAGAGCCTCAAAAAGGCGGCCACACCTTTAATCAACGTCCATGAAAGTTCTATTTTTCTTCATTTTCATACGCCACTGAAAAACCAGTGGCTAAATGCATTTTTCCTCAGTCTATGTCAATAATATACGCATTTAAGATAGAGTGATCCCGAGATTTTCACAAAACTTATGACTTGACCGAAATTTGACGTCGCCTAACAACCCTTAAGATGAACAATAAATTATTAACAAATAAACAAAATATCCAATAAAATTAGTAAAATAAACACACAAAGGTTTATAAAAGATCAAGCAATCGTAATAATGGCATAATTTTCGTTTTCTATTACATGAAGAGCGGTTTAATTCCCTTTTCAAGTATTAAGAATTAAAATGATAATAAACGTGTATTGATTTCCAAACATCCGTTTCTATGGCAACTGCCACAGAATTACTATCACAAATATTTAAAATATTTTTTTATTTAAAATATTCAACAAGTGTCTATATTCTCATTTGTAATTTTCAACCAATTTCACTTATAAATGAATGAAATAAAAAGAAATTCCACGAACTTTTGGATCAACCCTCGTACTTTGTATTTTGTCTCCCCCTGTAATTTTCCCTTTTTGTTATTTTGTTCAAAATTTTCTACATATGACTTTTTCTGTTTTTTTTTCTCTGTTACTTTGTTCAATTTTGTTTGTGTTTTTTTTTTCTTCTTTTGCACATTCTTTTAATATCACTATTTGTTCTGTACCTTGACCTAAATGTAGGGAGAGGGCTAAAATAGGCTGCGCCTGCTGCCCAATCCTATTCACGACAACATCTGTGAATAAAATATTGTTTAAATAAAAAAAAAATAATATTATGTCAAACGGTCTAACAATGATTTACCTGCAACAAAACATTCGCATTGGTATTATAATTATTGGTGACAAATTATACCAGTCTCCTAGCGCACAAATATTTACATATAACATAAACATTCCTCTCGTGTTATAACCATCTGTGAAATAATTTTCAAGCATTTTTATTCATAATGCCAAATATATAAAAAAAAATTATTTACGAAAATAAGTTGTGGTCGTTAACATATTATTCAAAAGAATTATTAAAGACAGACACACCGGAAGTCCTTTATCCTGATGGAGTAAACGGACTTATTCGTAAAAAAAAATAGATAAAAAAAAGATGGTCTAATAAGTTGCTTTAAAAAGTCCAAGCTTTCCACCTTACAGTAAACTATATTTGAAAGAATTTTAAAAAAAAAGTAAATTGTACAGACCCTACTAACATCATGTAGTTTTGGTTGCCTTTTTTTTATTATTTACTTTTTAGAAAAATAAATCCATATGCAGGTGATAATGGAATATTGCGTTATAAATAAGGGAAGTTGACGATAGGAAAATTAAATTGTCACCTCTACTTTATTCATCATACAGTTAATTTGTCAGTTAATTGCAATCGGTCTTTCTTTAATGAAACATCCTGACGTGCCAGCCGTGCAACCTATATGTCAGACT